TATCTTGCCCATTTTAATACAAATGGAAACCTGGTGTTTGAAAATCTCTGAACTGTGTGGGTTTTGGAGGAATATACCTGAATTTTATTCAATAACAGTTTCTGGACAGGAAGAAAAATACAGTTACATATTTATAAAATAGTTGTTACCAGTATTCTTTTTTCTGTGTATGCTTCTTTCTTTAAAATAATATTCTTGGTTATAAAGTAGAAAAGTTTAAAGGTCATTTCCATTTCTTCACTGAGGAGAAAAAAAGTTAAATAATCCAAGTAATTAAATAATATAAATCCCTAGATAACCTTACAGGAAGATTAACTCAAGGGCTGATAATCTGTGATGGTATGAACAATAAATCTAGAATAAAATGTTAATAACTACAAATTAAAAGGGGTGTGGGGAAGAAGTTGGTAGAGTAGAAAAATGTGCTATCACCACTATCGAGGAGACACGCCAGCTCTCTAGGGACAGCAGCATTTTAACTATGTATGAATTTTAATATTGTTTGTATATGACTCTGTGACTACACATTTACACAATACAGTAATGGTACTTTCTCACAACTATTAATTCAAACAAACACAAGGATGTTGAAGGTTTTTGTTTGTGTATACGTATGTTTTGGTGGTGGTGGGGGTCATTGTTTCTGGTTTTAAAAGATGAAGTAGCAGATACACTTCATCTATGATTGATCCAGTGTAGTAGAGGACTACATGTCCTTTACCATGAGAATATAAATAGCATTATTTCCCCAACATCTGAAAGAACTGAGAATGAGTGGTTTGTAAAATCTAAGTGGACTGAAGTATTTAAAATGTGAACCATGGATATATTTTGTTAAAATTGAAAGCTGTAGAAAAGTTTTGCTCACTTCCTGTAGAAGGTACTGAGCAAAATCACACAATGGCAATAGCATACACTGAGCATGTATTTTAATCTGAAGCAATAAAGTAGTGCTCAAGAAGTTGAAGCTCACTTTGGAAGATCAATCCATGCTTGAATATTCTCATTCTGAAATACCTTTTTTTCTTACCCTACATAGCTTCAAAAGGGATTTTTTTTTTAAACTGCCTGCTCCCCAGTTTAAAATATTAGGAAGACTTTTATAAGGTTTTGTAATTGGCAAATACATTCAACATATTTAGGCATCTCACTCTTATATTTGAAATAAATGTAACTTTCTTCCATTTAGAAAAGTGGCAAATGCCAGCATGCCACTAATTTTAGTCAAGAAGCAAATACACATTTAAGAAAAACGTGATTTTAACATTTATATGAACTGTTTATAATCTAGATGGGTATACTTCTTTACACTGCTCCAGCTGTGTTCATTGCAAGATAGGAAATTATTCTGAAAACCTTTACTGAACTGCTGTTGTCTTAGATCATTTGTATCATGATGAAATTAGAAAGCCTCAGAACTATATTTTTGTGTATTATTCCTCCATTTCCACTGTAGCATTTATACTAAGAAAGATGTTGAAAATATGAGTTCTGGTTCTGATGTTAATATTATGGCCCTAAAACACAGTGTCAAAGTCATATAATGTCCCCAAGCCCCATCCTGTTTCCCAAGCATTAAATAGGGAAGTTAATTCTTACCTTATCACGCAGGGATGTTTAGAGAATGGGTGAAAAAAAGTATCTGAAGCACGTTGGGGGGAGGGGTGTGTGGAAAGGCTGCATAAAACCAAGAAACTGATTTTTTTTCCTGCCTGTGTTTCAACTGAGCCATTCTTTTAAACATTAAAACAAAGGCAATCAACAAGCAACAGCTTACAAGAATCGTAAGTTTCTTTTAATGGGTCCAGCACTGTATCAGCCTCATAGTGCAAGAAATCCTTGTGGAATTAATGGATGGAAGTGTTGCAAAAATGTCTACTATTTCAGTTGATTCTGTGGACCATGTGTAAGGTTCTATAATAGTAATTTTTATGGTTATAACACCTACTAGCTATGGGACTCTGAGAAAGTCACCTAATAACTCCATACCTATTTACCTCATCTACAAAATAAATATGTAGTACCATTTACCTCATGGAGTGTTGCAAGGATTAAGTGTCTTAAGGCTGGGGTTGGCAGACTATGGCCCACGGGCCAAATCTGGCCTGCCACCTGTTTTTGTAGGGGCTGCAAGCTAAGAACCGTTTTTTACATCTTGAAGTAGTTGAAAAAAAATCAGAAGACTATTTTGTGACATGAGAATAAATGAAAATCAATTTTCAGCATCTGTGAATAATGTTTAATTAGAACACAGCTATGCTCATTTGTGTATGTATTGTCTATGGCTGCTTTTATGCTATAACAATGAAGCTGATTAGTTGTGACAGAGAACCCAGGCTTACAAAGCATATTTACTCTTTGGCCCTTTACGGGAAAAGTATGCGAACTCTTGGTCTAAGACATAGAAAACAGGATCCTGTTTAATGCTCACGACTCTACAGTTAAGTGGTATTAAGAACATTTTGCCAAAGAACAGGGTAAATAAATTGTCCAAGGTCACATAGCTAGTCAAGGAAAAAGTCAGCCTGACCCCAAAGCCTATTCTCTTTCTAATGTATCATACTAGTATATTGGTTTTGTTTTTTGATACATGAACTGATCATAATTTTAAGCAATTTAATAATTTCACTAAGTATTAAATACTGATTTTATTTTAGATTTTTTTTTCAAAGACTGCAGAAACCAGTTGATTTTTAAATGCTGTGATAAACAGACTTTGTTGTACATTTCAATTCCTTATTAAATTAAGAGAAGTCTTTGCATATGTAGACAGCCAAAACAACTGGGGACTGAAAATCTCTCACAGGACTTAACGTTTTCATGAACACAGAATTCACAGACACTGTAAACTATGTGATAAGTGTATGTTAGTTTTTATATTTCAATATTTGTTACCCCCACCCAAGGTTACCCTCAACCAACTCAATCCCCTTTGTAGCCTGCCTTTTAAAAACCAAGGTGCCACTGCAATATAGGAATGTGAATAGCAGTAAACTTGTCACAAGAGAATATTGTGACCGGCATACAAATTGACTTGAAGGCAACTTTATTAGCGTTTATTTTAAATTATCCCAAAGTCTTCCAAGACTGAAACAAGAACCATGTTACTGTGTGTACTGTCACTGTTACAGTGTGCACCATAACTCTAGTAGTTTGAGAATTACGTGAACTATTTTAAGGGCTATGTCATGATATACAGAAGGAATTCTAATTTTCAATACTTTCACTAATTTTGTCATAGGTGGTTGTATTAGTCCATTCTCACATTGCTATAAAGAAATACCTGAGACTGGGTAATTTATATGAGATTTAATTGGTTCAGGGTTCTGCAGGCTGTACAGGAAGCATGCTGGCCTCTGCTTCTGGAAAGACCTCAGGGAGCTTTTACTCAAAGCAGAAGGCAAAGTGGGAGCAGGCAGTTCACATGCCAAAATCAGGAGCAAGAGAGAGCAAGCGGGGAGGTGATACACACTTTTATAAACAACCACACCTTGAGAGAACTCACTGTCGCAGGAACAGCACCAAGGGGATGGTGCTGAACCATTCAAGAGAAATTCACACCCATGATCCAATCACTCCCACCAGGCCCTGCTTCCAACACTGGGATTACATTTTGACCTGAGATATGAGTGGGGACAACATCCAAACTATATCAGTGATCTTCATTTAAATTCTTCAGAGTGATCAATTTGGTTTTTTTTTTTTTTTTTGATAGCAGTACTGTCAGCAGAGGTTAGACACATTAAGAGTGCTGAGGATGTGCTGCAGAGATTTTACTCAACAGTCCCTTGCATTTACCAAGGAGGTATTTGTTGTAGACCTACTCTTTTTTTCCTCCAATTAGTTCCAGATACTGCTGCTGGATCCACTCAAGGCCCACTTCTATTCCTGATGCCATATAAGCTGAAACATTTTGTGACTCTCCAACAAATGAAGCATGAACAGTAAACACAAGAATCCAAGTCTTTTGCCAATGATATCGTGGCTCTCTCTCGTCTCATTTTCTCTTGTTTGTATCCTAAGCTTCATCCAACCTAGACACACTCTTCTTAAATATGTCCTTGATTTTCCTCCCTCTACAGTATTTCTTCTACCCGTTCTACCTCCTTTTCCACTTGCAAAGTCCTCCATCTTCTCCTTTAGGACCCATCTGAAATGTCTACTCCTTAATGAAAACTTTTCTGATCTCTCTAATGGCATGAGATTTCTCTATCCTAAATACTCATTACCCCTTTCTTTATATTTCATTGTACTAGATCCAGCTAGTTAACTATATTTTTTTATCATCCCTAAGAAGTCATTAAAAAAAAAACTTCCTGAGGGTAGGAATGCTTTAATTTAGAACCAATAGAATATTACAAAAAATACGTAGCATGTGGGAGAGACTATGGGAGATACGAAAGCCATGAAAGGAAAGATACGAAAGGAATTTAAACTTTATCTTATGGGCATCAGACAACTATTATTGAATAGAAAAAGTGACATATGAAAAAAATGCTACAGGAAAATTACTGATTACTTGTATTTACTGTAGAGGGGGCTATGGGGAAAGAGTAAGGTTATCTTGGAGACTGCAGAACAGTACATTGGAAAATTAGTATGGCGGAGGAAACAATACCTCTTTAAAGAAGAAAAGTAAAACTGGAGAGTTCAATGATGCTGAAATAGGAGAATCATGAAAATAGATTAGAGGAGGCAGGGAGGAAATAATGACCTGAAGAACAGATTCTGGAAGAGTCATATAAGAATGATACTAGGCAAAAGTAAAACCAGAAGTTTACTTTTATAGCCATCTTCTGCTTTACTTTTTAGGGAAGCTTGAAAATATACTCTGCTTATTCCAGTTAACAACTAATACTAGCTACATTTCTCAAAGTGAGTATCCAGACGGCTCAGCTATTTTAAAAGATACTGATAATCTCAAAATAAGTTTTCATAAATAAAAATCACCATCTGACTTAACTTTTGCACTGCAAAAGATTTGTTTAACAAATACTCACCAGTTGATCTGCTGGGACTGTTCTAGCATTAAAGTATACAACAAAGGAGTTGCTTGCTGTCATGGAGCTTATGTTCTATCTAGACGCAGATGACTAGCATGCAGTGTGACTAGACATCCTGGTTTGCCCAGGATTGAGGGGTTTCCCGGGATGCAGGACTTCCAGTGCTAAGCCTGGGAAATCAGTGACAAACAACAAATGCTACTGGCAGCAAACAACAAATGCTACTGGCAGCTGATCTCCCAATGATCACCTAAAACAACCCTGCCCCCTACTTCCCACTTCCTGGTATTCATGCCCTTATGTAAACCCTTCTCACATTAAATAGGGCTGACCTGCATAAGTAACAACACATTGTGGAAACGACTGTGTGTGACTTCCAAGGCTAGGTCATGAAAGAAATTCATGAATTTCATGTGGCTCTCCGCTACACTCAAGCAGCCCTATGGAGAAGCCTGCTTGTCAAGGAACCAAAACCTCTTGCTATCAGCTATGTAAATCAACCATCTTTAAGGGAGATTCTCCAGCCACAGTCAAATACAGTCAGACTTTCAGATGACTTTAGCCCTGGACAGCATGTTCACTGCAACCTCTTAGCAGATCTTAGAACCACCCAGCTAAGTCATTCAAATGCCTGACATACAGAAACTGAAATAAAGCTTGATGCTAAATTTGGGGGTAATTTAATACAGAGTAGTAGATAATTAATACAGTGCTAGAGAAAAGTTATGCCTGGTAAGGACTTAGGAAGGTAGGCACTATTTTTGGTAAGTGGATTTGGATAAGCCTCTCTTACAAAGGCATTTGGGCAGAGATCCAAAAAATAAGGGAGCAAGCCAGCAAAAGGATGTTCCAAGCGGAAGAGTAATGGACTTCTGACTCAGTACCAACTAAAGTGATTGTCAGAAGAACATCAAATGTGTCATTGCGACTCAAGTAGGGTGAGCAGGGTAGAGAAGGGGGTGTGGCAGGACATCAGAGGGAGGGGCAGAGCCTCGCAGAATAAAAAGTAAGGTGTTTGAATTTGATTGAGTCAAGGGAAGCCACTGGAAGGTTTTTTAAAAGCGTCATCTTCTTTTGGTTTTCTATTAGCAGCTTGGATTCTGAGCATGCAACATTCGATTCTGTAACAAGGCTGACAAGGGTTCAACCAGGCTGTGTGGATGAAATCTGTGACCTCCTCAAGCATTTGAAGTTCATGTTTTCTTTTTATTTTAGGACGGAATCTTGCTCTGTCGCCCAGGCTGCAGTGCAGTGGCGCGATCTCGGCTCACCACAACCTCCGCCCCCGCGCCCCCGGGCTCAAGCGATTCTCCTGCCTCAACCTCCCAAGTAGCTGAGATTACAGGTCTGCGCCACTGCGCCAGGACTAATTTTTCTATTTTTTTTTTTTTTTAGCAGAGACTGGGTTTCGCCATGTTGGCCAGGCTGGTCTTGAACCCCTGACCTCAGATGATCCGCCTGCCTAGGCCTCCCAAAGTGCTGGGATTACAGACGTGAGCCACCGCGCCTGGCCTGAAGTTCTTTTCTACAGAACTTTGCTGTCCGATACACATGAGGCTACACAACCAACTGGGCACCTGACACGGGGCTAGTCCAAATTGAGACGGGCTGTTAACTCTAAAACACACACTGGATTTCCAAGACTTAGAACTAATCACAGAGCGTAAAAGATCTCATTAATTCTTTTAGACTGATTACATGCTGAAATGACAGGATGGGCTAAATTAAATACATCATTAAAAGCAGTTTCACCGATTTCTCTTTACTCTTTAAAAATGTGGCTACTACTAGAATTACCTACGTGGCTCGGACTGTGTGTCTACAGGGAGCTCCTCTCCGGCACTCTGTACACTCAAGTTTCGCCGGTGTCCTCCGCCCGAAGGGCCGCCTCAGAAACCGCCCCGGTTTCCCGGGGAAGCGGTCCAGCCCCCGGCGAGGGCTCCGAGGTTGGCCCCGAGGGTTAAGGGTCAGCCCTGGCCCTCGCGACATCCATTCACCCGGCTCCGCGGGTGCAGCGCGCGGTCCTCAGAGAAACCCCGACCCTGGCGTCGCTGACCCGACCATTCATTAATCGGGGGCTTCCGAGGGCCCGGGAGCAGCCTCGGGCGCCCCACTCCCCCATTCTCGCGTAGCCGTCTCTTTGACCGCGTCACACTGAGCGGCGCAACCACCAGAGAAGGTAACTGGGAGGGCGCGACCTCCTTCAAGCAACACCCACCTCGGGCTGACTGAGGGGACCCAGGTCCGGTTCAGTCACAGCGTTCCCTAGGCTTCCCGGGTCTCACAGCGGCGGGGGCGTGGCCACAGCCTGAGAGGCGGGTTTCCTGTCCAGTCGTAAATAACTTCCGACGTGTGCCGGAAGTTTCTTCGGTGACAATCAGGAAGTCGGCGTGTCGAGAGGCTCGTCCAGGCCGCTGAGGCGGGTTAAGGTCTGAGGGTCGTGTGGAGCCAGGGCGCTGGTCACCAGGTGTTTGGCGTGGTCGGCTCTTATTTCTCACCTGGCAATGGCGACGTACACCTGCATAACTTGCCGGGTGGCGTTCCGCGACGCGGACATGCAGCGGGCCCACTATAAGACGGACTGGCACCGCTACAACCTGCGGCGTAAGGTGGCCAGCATGGCCCCAGTGACCGCCGAGGGCTTCCAGGAGCGAGTGCGGGCGCAGCGGGCCGTAGCGGAGGAGGAGAGCAAGGGCTCGGCCACCTACTGTACTGTTTGCAGTAAGAAGTTTGCATCTTTCAACGCCTACGAGAACCACCTCAAGTCTCGGCGGCACGTTGAGCTGGAGAAGAAGGCCGTGCAGGCCGTGAATCGGAAAGTGGAGATGATGAATGAAAAGAACTTGGAGAAAGGACTGGGCTTGGACAGTGTGGACAAGGATGCCATGAACGCCGCCATCCAGCAGGCCATCAAGGCCCAGCCGTCCATGTCTCCCAAGAAGGCGCCCCCAGCGCCTGCAGAGGAGGCCAGGAGTGCCGTAGCCGTGGGGACTGGTGGCCGTGGGACCCACGACCGAGACCCGAGCGAGAAACCACCCCGGCTCCAGTGGTTTGAACAGCAGGCGAAGAAGTTGGCAAAGCAGCAGGAGGAGGGCAGTGAGGAGGAGGAAGAGGACCTGGATGGAGACGGTGATGGCCCTGTCTGGGCGGGGAGGGTAAAGAGGAACTTGGCCCCCCTTTAGTTTTCAGATTTATACTCGAGATGGGTGTGTGTGTTTGTGTGTTTGAGAGCTTTTAAGTAAAAATGATGAGGGAAGGTGGTTTAGATGCTTTCTGAAGTGCCTTATCTGGCCAGCAGGTTCGGCTGTTTAGTTCACTCAATTCATTCTCCAAGGCCTAAAACCTTGTCTGGAAAAAGAAGAAGTGCCTAATGCATATTTGGAGAATGAATTGATGCCTTCTCTGTTTTGGATGAGGAAACTTTTTTTTCCTTTTTTTTTTTAAACGGAGTCTCGCTCTGTCGCCCAGGCTGGAGTGCAGTGGCCGGATCTCGGCTCACCGCAAGCTCCGCCTCCCGGGTTACATCATTCTCCTGCCTCAGCCTCCCGAGTAGCTGGGACTACAGGCGCCTGCCACCTCGCCCGGCTAGTTTTTGTGTATTTTTTAGTAGAGACGGAGTTTCACCGTGTTAGCCAGGATGGTCTCGATCTCCTGACCTCGTGATCCACCCGTATCGGCCTCCCAAAGTGCTGGGATTACAGGCTTGAGCCACCGCGCCCGGCCTGGATGAGGAGACTTTTAACATACGCACAGGAGGACATCGTCATACCAGCCGCCGTGTTATTTGCTATTCTAGTGGGTTTCCAGTTATGATGGTTTTGCACTTACTTTAGTTGAGTAAAACAGAATGAGGGGATCAAAATCAACTCAGCCAGAAATGTGGAGCTGGAGCCAGCAGCCTCACCTCTTTGACTTTATGAGTTATTTATTCCTTCTTTCCCTCATCCCACATCCTATTAACAGTGCTGGTGTAGGTGTTCATGTCTTTGTCTGTTCGCTCTGCTATAACGAAGTACCAGAGACTGGGTAATTTATGAATAACATAAATGTATTTTCCCGTAGTTCTGCAAATTGGGAAGTCCAAAATCAAGGTGCTGGCAGAGTCAGTGTCTGGTGAGGGCCTGTTCTATCGATGAAGTTTTCTCATGTTATCATGTGGAGGAAGCAGAAGGCAAAGACGGGCTAGTTCCTTGGCACTAATCCATTCATTCGGGATTAGTGCTCGCCTCACTTAATCACCTCCTAAAGGCCCCACCTCTTAATGCCGTTTCATTGATGATTAAGTTTCAACATTTGAATTTTGGGAGGGAAACATGCATTCAAACCATGGCCGTTCATAGAGCACCCCACCAGCACATACACACACCCCACAGTACTCTTGTGAAATAGTAGATAGAGGCATTGTTTTAGCAGTTTATAAAAATATGCAGCCAGAGCTCACGCCTGTAATCCCAGCATTTTGGGAGGCCGAGGCAGACGGATCACGAGGTCAGGAGATCAAGCTATGGTGAAACCTCATGTCTACTAAAAATACAAAAAATTAGCCGGGCGCGGTGGCGGGCGCCTGTAGTGCCAGCTACTCCCGGAGGCTGAGGCAGGAGAATGGCGTGAACCCGGGAGGCGGAGCTTGCAGTGAGCCGAGATGGCGCCACTGCACTCCAGCCTGGGTGACAGAGCGAGACTCCGTCTCACACACACACACACACGCACACACAAATGTATATATATATATTCACCCAGATAGGAGACTCCCTAACTATGTTCAGCACTGGGCTAGGTGCTGTAAGGCATAGGAAAGAAACAAACAAAAGACTCCTATTTCCTGGAAAAGAAAGACTAAAGAATTTCACAGGCATTCAGATGAGTCTGGTAAACAAATAGCTAAAATTGAGATCTTGAAAGAGGAGTTGTCCTTGGGAGTTGGGGGTACGGCTGTTTCTCCAAATATAGGACTGTATCACCGCATGTGATATCTTTGCTTGCTATTACTTTTCTTAAACTTACTATTTCAAAATTCTGGCTTGCAGATTGGGAAGATATTGATTCTGACGAAGAACTGGAATGTGAGGATACTGAAGCAATGGAGGATGGGGTGGAGCAGGATGCAGAGGAGGAAGAGGCTGAGGAAGGCCCACCCCTTGGTGCCATCCCTATTAGGGACTGCTTATTTTGTTCCCATCATTCCAGCTCGCTCATGAAGAATGTGGCTCATATGACCAAAGTCCACAGTTTCTTTATTCCTGATATAGAATATCTTTCAGACATTAAGGGACTGATTAAATACTTGGGTAAGTATAATAGTTTTTCTTTTAATGAGGAAATAATCACATTATTGGGGGACTGGTCTCAAGGGAACATTAGTTTTGCGTTTTTCATCAATCTTTGATATAATTGCTTACTTATTTTGTGAGTGATTTTTGAGTTGTGACAAATAGTGAGATTTAATTGGTTGCAAAAAGCTTTTTTCATATTTTTTCCTTAAATTATTTTTCTAGGAGAGAAAGTTGGTGTTGGAAAGATTTGCTTGTGGTGCAATGAGAAAGGGAAGTCCTTCTACTCCACAGAAGCTGTACAGGCGCATATGAATGACAAAAGCCACTGTAAGCTCTTCACAGATGGCGATGCTGCTTTGGAATTTGCAGACTTCTATGATTTTAGGTAAGCATAATTTGTAACATGAAGTGAAGTGAAGTCATATTTGCTTTGCATTAATATTATGTGTGCCAGTGCTGGATATGTGTTTGGCACTGTGCAACGTATCCTTAATAACACTTATAACACCTCTGTATTAGGCAGTTCTTTCTTTTAGTTGAGAAACTCAGTTTCACAGAGTTTAACACATCTAGTAAAGAGAAGACCTTAGACCCAAACTGAAGTTTGACTTGTTTTTCTTTTTGTTCTGGTTAAATCATCAAGAGTTCAGTTTTGCCCCTTGAACAGAGGTACAGAAATTAGGTTTCACATACTGGGTTCCTGGAGAGTCCTTGATCACCAGCTGTCCCCTGAAGGAGTTGAGACAGTTGCTAAACCAGTCCCAAACCAGGCATCTGATGGTGAGATTATCCCATTGGTGGTTCACCCCTAACTAGAATCTGTTTTTTTTTTTTTTTCTGAGAAAGATTTTTGCTGTCACCCAGGCTGCAGGACAGTGGCACGATCACGGTCTCCTGCAGCCTCAGCTGCCCTGGGCTCAGGTGATCCTCCCACCACAGCCTCCCCAGCAGCTAGTGTGCACCACTATGCCCTGCTAATTTTTGTATTTTTTTGTAGAGATGGGGTTTCGCCGTGTTACCCAGGCTGGTCTTGAACTCCTGGGCCCAAGTGATCTACCTGCCTTAGCCTGGGATTACACGTGTGAGATAACCATGCCTGGCCCTAACTAGAATCTTGAATAATTTGTATGTCATTTAGCAAATGTATGTTAAGTACTTGTGAACAACTAGTTGTCAAAATTCCTGTGAGCTAGCACAGGAGATAAGCAGATGTGTATAATTACCATGCCAGGCGTGCATAGTCCAAGTGATACAATGTTCAGAAAAGTCTCAGTCTTTTAAGTCTTGCTTTTGCATTTTCTTCCTGATTTCCCATTTTGCAGCTGGAGACTTGCAGTTGGTGGACATGACTGGGAGGAGGTAGAGGGGAGGATTAGAGGCTGTGGCAGTAGAGAAGACAATGAATTCTGCTGGTGGTGGGAAGCATCCTCTTTCAGTATTTATCCCTCTCAAGTTTCCTTTTAGACACCAATGTTTATAACCTTTTGACTGATGTTGTCATCAGAGTGATCAAAGCAAATACCATGGATAGAGTCAAGCAGCTGCCATCAGCAGTAGGCTTGGAATGCCCAGCACTCAGTCTGTCATCCTGTGGTTATATTCAGGATCCTACCCAGTCTCACAGATTTCAGTATCTTCTGCAGGCCCGTGACCCCCACATTTATATCTCTAGTATAGCCTTCCCTGTAGCTATAGACTGAAGATATCCAGCTACCTCCTTGATATTTCTACTTGTGTCTAAAAGGGATCATTAACCTGTCCAAAATCAACTCCTGCTATGCATCCTAATCTGCTCCCTGTAAGTAAATGGCGTCTCTGTCCTTCTAGTTACTTAAGCCAAATGCCAGGTAGTCTTCCTTTATTCTTCTGTTTTCTTTCATGTTTACTTTAGAATCTATCACCAAATCCTGCTTTAACTACTTTTGCACTATCTATCTTCAGAGGCTGACTGCTTCTCACTACTTCTACTGCTCCTACCCAGGTCCAGGGCACCATCCTCTTTTGCCTGAC